TTGCAAGAAAATGATGTCATAGTGTGGGGCCCGGGTCCATTTCCGGGCTTTTAACCCGAGACTCGTGACCTTTCTCAGCTGTCTTGCTCTTGGAGAAAATGAAACACATTGAAATGTACAGGCCAGCAAACCTCAGAAAAGCCTCTGCGCCTCCAGGATGCCGCTAACTTCTGCAAATACATTAATGACCCAAACACCTTATCTGGGTGTCACATCTGGGACATGGCATGGACCCCCGTCTGTAAAATGGAGAGGAAATAGGCTTCAGATTGTGTCTGCAATTTCCTGGCAGCAGCCCTTTCTTCCCTACACTGGGTTTAATTACTAGCGACAATGTTCGGTGAAATCCGGCCTCCCGGCACGGCTTTTGCTCTGAGTTTTACATTAAAGTCTGAGCGAACTTAAATCTTCCACACTGCACTTGTGCCTCCGTGTCTTAGGTCGGGTGAAACCCCAGCCCGAGTGACGTTATGGAATTATTTCCTGGAATGTCAGGGCTGAAACTGCCCTGTCAGGAATGACTCTGTTCTTTCAGGACTGAGAAAGCCAGGCTCAGACTGCATCCTTGTGCCAGGAAACCGGGGCTCTCGGGTCATTTGCATACAGCCAATGAGAGCCATCTACTGTTTTGAGGAGGTCTTGGAGACTGTATGACGACATCCTGGAAAAATCTCAGCTGGGGAAAGGGGATTTTTCCCCCCTTTCCCTCAGCCCCATTTTAAATAGTTTCCTTCCCACAGCCCATGTGTCCACACTTGTAACCCCGCCCATTTTCCTGCCCAGGCCCCTGCCACTAGCTCAGGAATCTCAACAGCCACACAAAACTGGAAATGGGCTGTTTAAAACAAAGGTGCCATATTCGTTCCAGTTCGTAAACTAGACATTTTTGGCACACAGTGGGGGAGAATTAACCCTTTTATTTCACCCAAGCAAGGGCACAGTAAAATAAATGCCTGTTCTTTTCTGCGTGACCAGAATGGCAAGCCCTAACGTGTTGATACCCAGTGTAGTTCTTAACATTATGAATGGGGTTCTGGTTAACCTAAGCCACTATTGCACGGTTTCACATGATACCACAAAAACTGGGTATGTTTCCTGACTCTCAAATTGTGCACATTTTCTACAAATGTTCTTCCCTCAGTTCTAGAAAGCAACTACTGAACTGTCCAGGTCTTAGAGGGGTGTGGTAGCAGCCAGAGATCTGGTTTGTTGATAAAATGCCCAAGGGTCACCTTAAATTATTTCAGCATAGAGTGGGACATAAATAGGAAGGAAGATGTATGCATATAAATAAGCAGGGTGTCCAGTGTTTAGGGGAAGCTCAAACGTTATTAATTTGGACATTATACTGACAAGTATAGAGTCCCTACGTGTGCAATCACCAGACCCATGGCTAGAAATCTTATCATTCCATTACGAGACAGATAACAGTGTGTTGACTGAAGACCTGGGGCCTCGGAGGCGTGCACTGGATTGCTAGATAGCGATGCCTCAGCTCCATGCCCTTGAACAAGTCATGAAGCCTCTCTCAAGTGCAGATATTGCATCTGTGAGATGAAGGTGTTTATGTCTTATGTCTAAAATGTTATGTCTAAAATGTTTACTCTGAACTTGTCTGTTTTCAAATGAGTGGAATCCATATTGGCTGACGTTTGAAGACATCTACTAAATGTGTTAAATGGAGTTCAAACCCTAAACTTATTCTGTGTGTGTGTGTGTGTGTGTGTGTGTGTGTGTGTGTGTGATATAGGCATGCATGTGCCACACAGTGCATGTCTGGAGGTCACAGGACAACTTTGTGGAGTCAGTTCTCTCCTTCCCCATTAAATGCATTCTGGGAATAGAAATTGGATCAACAGGATTGATCACGGAACAACCTTACCATCTCTGGATGTTTAGAGAATCCCAGGTGTATTGGGCTTTCTGCTGTCCACTTTGCTACTGGAATCTCCTTGGTTTCTCTCAGCAAGATTATGAATTAGCTACTGATAACCCCCTTTGGACCATGAGGAAATGGGAGAGTCTGCCCTAAAATGACAAGGAGGAAGTCTCCCCATGCAGACACTTTTCATTCCAAAGATCTGTCCATGTTCTGTTACAGAACACCTGTGTGTTCCAAACTGTGCTATGTAATGAAATCATCACAGGAAGGCTTCCTGGAGCTGATGGCTGGGATCGAACTATTCCCAGCTCCTACAGGTTCCCAGGGCTGCAGGTGGTACTAAGCTGAGTCAATGACTCAAAGCCCACCACACTGAGCTGTGGAGAGCCACAAACCAAGACCAAAATGGAGAGAATCTAGGAAGCACCTTTCTGATCCAAGTGAGAAAGAATGTCTCCATTGTCGTCGAGCTACAGCTGCAGGGGGGCCTCTTGGGAAGAGCCGTGCTGTGAGGGGCCACACAGATCCTGCAGCACTTATTGAGAAATTGGCCTACCATGGATCTAAGGTTCCTTCTAACTACAAAATGATTTTTATTCGTTTGTGTGGTTGGTGGTTTTTTTTTTTATTGTAATTAAAAACTTATTTATGTGTGTGTCAGAGAGAGTTTAAAACAGTGCCTGTGTGGAAGACAGCAGACTGTGTGGGAGCTGATTCTCTCCTTCCGCCAGCTGGGGCCCAGGGATTGAACTCAAGTCCTCAGCCTTGGTAGTAAATGTTTTTACTGGCTGAGCTGCCTTGCAGGTCTGCTGTTGGGATTTTTAAAACGGGGTCTCACGTAGCTCAGGCTAACCTCAAACTCACTATGTGACAGAAATGGCCTTGAACTCCTGCCTCTCCTTCCCGAGTTCCGGAATCACAGGTGTCACTGTCACACCCAGTTCTGTGGAGTGCCAGGGAATCAAACCTAGGCCTCACACATGCTACAGGTGAGGTGACCGACCAATGGGGGTGCATTCTCAGTCCGTAAGTGGATTGTTAGGAGAGCCCAAAACAAGAATGGGAAGAGGGGTGCTGAGTGAGAGGGTGATGTCGCCCTGCAGGCCACAATTCCGTGCTTTGTGTCTTGAAGATTTAGAGTCACATTGGTGGTGGCAATGAAGAAAAACTGAGAGAAATGTCACCTAATTTATGTGATATGGGATTGCCATCAAATGAAGCTCCACCCGAGGAATAATAAAAATGAAAACAAATCATTCATTGGCTATACATTTATAACATAGACTTTCGTATTTCTATGGCAACAATAATATTCAGTTTCTACATCATAGTGTGAACATTTCACAATGTTAGTGGGAGGACCAAAATACACTGTTGTTTCCATTTTATGTCATAAGAACATAGAGGGGGTAAGTTTAGAGAACACAACTGCTTGGTAAATATTTCAAAATAATGACCACAAATAAGGCCAATTCAAGGGGAACACAGCTCCAAATTTATTGCTCATTCTTTCCACCCTAGGAAGGAAGAAAAGGGAGAACTATTTATTTGTACAGTTTATCAAAGAAAATTCATTTTTGCTTCTGACATTTAATTCAACCATTTTTATGTCCCAGAAACACTGAAGGATGACTCAAATAACAGCATCAGGGAACCACTTCAGGATTTGAGGGGCATCAGCAGAGAGAGTCAGAGTGGCGCAAAGAGTCTCAGAAAGGTATAAAAAAGAAATACATGCTCAATAACGACAGGGCAGGGGCACAGCGCACCAGGCTGCGGTTGCCGCTGCGGCAGGGGCTGGATGAGGGAATGCCGATTGCCGCTAAATATTTCTTCTGGTCATTTGCTGTTTCTTCCGTCTGGATTGGCGTGGGGCTTTTCAAAAACTAACAGGAGATTAAAGGGAACTTTCGGAAATCTTTAATTGGGAGCCAAGAACTTGAATTTGATTAGAAGTGAGGGAAGGAAGCGAACATTTCTTACGCACTTCTCCAGGACTGCGCGGGCCTTCCTGGTCTCACATTAGAAATGATGCCATCCTCGGTGGTTGAGGATGGGGCTGGCTCCATTTTCCAAAGAGGAAAGTAGGCTCAGGTGATTTGATTCCGAGTTGCTGAAAGCTGCCCCAGTACCCAGAAGGGAGGGGTTAGAGGAGATGATTAAACCCCAAGCTGCCCAAGGAGGGCTGGGTAAAAAGCCAGGAAAGGCCGCAGGTGCCTTAACCCTCGCATTGTGGGGTGAAGACAAATGGACCCTGGGGCTCACCTGCCTGCCAGCCTAGCCAAAACCAGCAAACTTCCAGTTCGGTGAGAGATGAGACATCTGATGTGACCTCTGTTCTGTGTGTGGGAGCGCGCGCACGCACGCACGCATGCGCACACGCGCACACATGCACACACACTCATATATATGCATTCCCACCCACACACTGTGCCACAGAGCGTTAGTGCTTCTCTGTGCACCCTTAATAATGCTAAAGCAGCTCTGCAGACAACCACCGCTCCTTGAGTAGAAACCCCAAACCATCCCCTTATATTCCTTCCTGGAAGTTTTTCTTGAGAGCAAGGGCATAGTAAATTCCCTGCAACACGCGAATTGTCTTTCGACTTAAAGTATGACTACCTGATTACCGCAGGCTTAAGTGAGAGCTCAGCTATAGCTAGGAGGACGTAAAAACGTAATCGAGGATTGCACGCTGCTACCCGTGTGACCCCGTGCTCCTGTCTCGCTTTTCCGGCCCCTTTGCTTTGATGACCACCTTTGAATACACTGTTCTATTTTTAAATGGCGTATGTCATTTATTCTCTGTCTCTCCTGCTCGAAGGTGGACTGTATTCTTGGTGTGTTCAGTGCATGTCAAACACTTAAAAGAGGGACTGACACGTTTTTCTGCAAGGAGCGAGATGATGCATATTTTAGGTTTAACTGGTCACATGGTCTATGACACTGACACTCTTGCCTCTCCAGGGGACAGTAGCCTCGGACAGGGGTGGCTGTCTTCTAATAGGACTTTGTCTATGGACATGGAAATCTGTGTATGATGGGACGTTGAAGTGTCATGAAATTTTGATTCCTCCCTCCCCCAAACATTCAATATATATATATATATATATATACACCCTTGTTGTTAAGCAGTGTGCTAAAAGTACAAAAAGCAGGATCATGTCTTGGATTTTTTAATAATGCTAGGAGAGTACACAAAAGAAGAAAAGTAGCTGCGTTGGACCCCAAAGACTGGGGTGAACTGCTTTCTTAATGTCCAGTGTCTTAATATTTGGTGAAATATGTCTTTAAAGTTTAAAGGAAAGTGGAAAATTAAATTGTATTTACACTTATTTAGTCTACATACGGAGGTGGAGACATGCATGCCGCTGTGTGTACAGAGGTCAGAGGCAACTTTTGGGAGCTGGCGCTCTCCTATCATGTGGGTCTTGGGGACAGAACTCAGGTCGGTAGACTTAGCAGCAACCTTTACCTAATAAGCCTTATCTCTGGCCCAGAAATTAGACTTGAGAATTAATGTTCTTTAATATAATCTATAATAATAAATAATAAATAGAACTATTTTTTAGAGCAATAATTTCCTAAGGACAGAGTTTCTGTTTTGTGTGATGGGAAAGCCCCACAAATGGACAGTAGTATCAAGACATAATATCATGAATATAATAAATCAATACAATTAATGAATATAAATATAGTTATTGAATGAATACTATGAATGTAATCAGTGAATACCACAAATGTAATTAATATCACGAGTGTAATTCATGCTACTGAATTGTGAACTTAAAAATGGTTAGAACTGCAAATAATATGTTTATTTAAAGAAATAAGGTGGAATGTAATAAAAAGAATCAGGTGGAGTGTAATCACCATACATTATATGTGTGTCTGAAATTGAAGACAGCGATGTTCTAAAATAGGAAGTGGTGATGGTGTCCTGGGCCTATGAGGATGCTGGACTAAAGTCTATCAAATTGTGCAAACAGGCAAATTGTGTACTATGTGAATTATTTGTCAATAAAGATTTTATGAAACTAAAAAACAACTATTTTTAGCTTTAGATTCATAACTTCCCAGAATGCAGTTGGTCATCTCTAGCCCATGGTCTATAGTTTGCTAACCCCTGGTCTAGAAAATAGTGCCTAGAACAGAGTAGGTGCCTAGAAAATGGAGTACACTGTGATTGGCCGAATGATAGCCCCATGAGGTTTCTATCAGATTCCCCATCAATAACCAGCATAGTAGGTGCTCCACACTGCCCTCCAGGTCTGAATAGCAGGCAGAACCCTGAATGTCTGCATGAGCCGGAAGGGACCTCTCACACATCCCACATAACGAGACCTTTTCCGAAGTCCTCTACGAAGAAGCCATCGCACCATCGAATTGTTTGGATGTCTACTTCAAGTCCATCTATAACACTGACAGTAGGATTATGTGTTTCGGCAGGGTTATGGCGCGGCAAGACCGTGAACCCAGTGCCGAGGAGGCAGAAGTGAGGGCTCCACCCTGAGTAAAAGGCTTGACTCTGGACTTTGTCTCCCCACACTGAACCAGTTCTCTCTCACTTTATACACAATTGTTTGGGGTGTAGAGACAGCTCCGTTGGTAGAATGCTTGCAAGCGTGAGGACTGAGTCCCATCTCTATAAAGCACATGAAAACAAAAGCTATGGATGGTGGCACTTGGTCACCACAGAGCTGGGGAGGCAGAGACCCGATGAAGCAAATGCACATTATTATTAATGCATTTATTTTTGATGTAATCGTAAATAATTTAAACTACAATAAAATGATGAGATTTTTATTTTATTTTTTTATTTTATTTTTTTATTTTTTTTGGTTTTTCGAGACAGGGTTTCTCTGTGTAGCTTTGCACCTTTCCTGGGTCTTGCTCTGTAGACCAGGCTGGCCTCGAACTCACAAAGATCCACCTGGCTTTGCCTCCCAAGTGCTGGGATTAAAGGCGTGCGCCGCCGCCGCCGCCGCCGCCGCCGCCACCACCACCACCCAGTGAGATTTTTATTTTTTATGAATGCTTTTACTCTATTTTTCTGTGCTTAGGGTTTTCATGAGATTGTTCTTCACTGTGAAAAGACTTTGGCGGACCCAAACCATCTAGATTACTTTGTTTATGGAAGAGGAGGCCCCACAAGAGAGCGGACGGCTCAGTTGGTCAGAATTAGGCCTGGGTTTCCTGGGCTGGGGAGACAGTGCAGGTGGTGGAGTATTTGCCTCACAAGAACAAGAACCTGAGGTCAATCACCAGACACCTTGTGAAAACTCAGAGCTTCCTGGTGCACACTGGAGAGCTGTCTTCCTGGTGCACACTGGAGAGGTGTCTTCCTGGTGCACACTGGAGAGGTGGTCTTCCTGGTGCACACTGGAGAGGCCTCTTCCTGGTGCACACTGGAGAGGTGTCTTCCTGGTGCACACTGGAGAGGTGTCTTCCTGGTGCACACTGGAGAGGTGGTCTTCCTGGTGCACACTGGTGAGGTGGTGGTCTTCCTGGTGCACACTGGAGGGGCGGGCACAGGAGGAGCCTGGTGCTCACTGGCCAGTGGTCTAACCTGCTTGCTGAGCTCCCGGCCAGTGAGAGCTTGTCTTAAGGGAGGTGACTGGCATTCTTGAGGATGACACTCAGCATTGTCCTCTGGCCTTCATACACACACACACACACACACACACACACACACACACACACACACACAGAGAAATACACACGTCTATACATTGAAATAGGTTTTAAAAACCTCAGGTTTGCTGACCAACTCTCAAGAAATAACTAGAAAGAGCCGTCTGTACTGTTGTGTTGCCACTTATGAAGACTTAAAGAAGACAGATTTCCCAGAAAGAATGAAATCCTTGTCATTAAATCTTGCCATCTTGCTTGGGCATTTTCTTGAACTTGCTTTGTTGTTGGTATTTTACTCTTTTGACTCCTTCCTTCCTTCATTTCTTCCTTCCTTCCCCACTTCCTTTTCCCACCTCTTCCTTTAGACAATCCTTGCTATATGTCCCAGGCTGGCCTCGAACGCAGTCCAGGTTGTCTCAGCTCTGAAGTGCTGGGATTGCAGCATATACTGATACATACAATTTGAAAGTTTTTTTTTTAATAATTTATTTTATGTGCATGGGTGTTTTGCCTCCATGTACATCTATGCACCATGTGTATGGAGTGCCTGTAGAGGCCAGACAAGGGCATTGTAGGCCCTGAAACTGGAGGTACAGATAGTTGTGAGCTGCCATGTCAGTGCTGGGTATGGGTGAAATTATTAAGGCCACTCCACGTAGTTAAAAGGGAGGCTTATTTTGTGGGGTAACTTACAAGTGAGTGGATAGTTTACAGAGTCTGAGAAAGTCGCAGTCCCGCAGTGTTCTCTGGAGAACTCTGCTCGGTCTAACTCCAGCATCCAGGGTCCAGAAACCAAGCAAGCCCGCACACCTGGATCTCAGGTCTTCAGGGTCCTCTCTTGACCCTGCCTTGTAGGCGTGACAGTTACCGAAGCCTCAATGGGGGTTGGAACTTGCAGATCAAAGCTGGAATGGCTACCCACTACAGCTGGGTATAAAACCTGGGTCCTCTGGCATAGCAGCCAATGATCTTGACCATTGAGCCATCTCTGCAGCCCCCAACTTGAATTTTTAAGCATGCAGTCATCCCTTAGTAACCCAGAGGATTGGCTCTAAGGCTGCCTTTGGATACAAAAATGTATGCTACTCAAGTCCCCAATATAAAGTGATGATGCTTCCCCCACATTTTTGATTTGAGAATTTGGAGTTTGAAAATTAAAACCCATGTCAAATGAGAGACAACGATATTATTTGTAAAATGAATGAGTTGTCAATAATATTTTGAGACCTAGGGCCCGGATGAAAAAAATCAATAGAGGAGATTTATTGGTTCGCTTAACAATCCCCCAAAGTGCAATCTTTTTTAAAAAGTTAGTTTTAAGATCAGATATTATCCTGGGAGTGAGAAATCAGAAATAAATCAGTGTTGAATTGCCATGGCCTCTTCCATCAAAATTTGAAGCCTGTCAAGATGCCAAACTTCCAAGAAAATGTTAAAGGCACATCACTGGGCATCCACATGGAATGCAGAGTTAGCACAATCTGCTTGGTCCAAGAATGGCTGGAAGGGAAACAACCTCACTGGCTCAGCCCTAAAGAGGACAACTATGTCACACCCTTTCCACTGCAGTTCCCGGAACATCAGGGAAGAGGGAGGGGAGAGACAGTGAGAGACAAAAGTCAGAGGACCACTGTGAATCAGCGTCTTCTGGGCACGACAGGGTCATTGAGCTCATAAACTCACAGCAGCTGTGGTTGCCTGAAGAAGACCGATACAAGAGCTAGCCAGTCAACACTCCAGCATGGATGAGAGGTGTTCGCAGGGCCCCACCCCCACCCGAGGAGCTACTGGAAGTTGATGGCTGTTGGGGAAGAGAGAGCCAGTTTTCTTCGAGGTTGATGACTACGGTACGTTTACCCGAGCTCCAGTGGATGACCCAATACCTATGTGCACACAGGCAGCACTAACTAAACGGACTCAGTGAAGAGGAGCAGGGGAGGAAGGGGAGGAGGGGTAACGGAATTGGGAGGGGGTCTGGGAGGAGGTGGAAAGTAGCAGGTGCATATGATATAAATACATTGTGTTCATGTATACAATTACAGAAGAATTAAAACAACAACAACTTGTAGTGAGGGTAACAGAGACAGCCCCCACTTACAAGAAACTCAGACTCAGAAGAGCTGAACACACCAGGCTGTGTCAGGGCTGAGGTCTGGATGGTAGCTTGAGGATGAAGGGGTGGCATAGAGGGATATTGTCTTAGTTCTTTTGCTGTGAAGAGACACCATGACTTCCGCAACTCATATAAAAGAAAGCATTTAATTGGGGCTTGCTTATAGATTCCGAGGTTTAGTCCATTATCACTATGGCAGGAAGCATGGCAGCAGGCTGGCAGACATGGTGCTGGAGAAGGAGTGGAGAATTCTACACCTGAACCTGTAAACAGCAGGAAGAGAGAAACTCTGGGCTTGGAATGGGTTTCTTTAAACCCCAGGGCCCATTCCCAGTGACACACATCCTCCAACAAGGCCCCACCTCCTAATCCTTTCAAATAGTGCCACTCCCTTATGACCAAGTATTTAAATCTATGAGCCTATGGGGGCCATTCTCGTTCAAATCACAACAGATATAAAGCCAGGGAATGATTAAAGCAGATTTGAACTTGATAGAGATCATTCTAGAATCCAGGTTCTAGAATGGACATAAAGGACAATGTTCTAGAGAGAGAGAATATGGAGTGTAGAACCTGACTTAGTAATCAGTGTTTCAAGAAGACAATGGAGACTTGGTAGCTGATCTCAGGTGTAAGGAGTCTGGGAGAATGTCAGGTCTCTGACTGGACCCAGTGTCACAAGTGCTGGGAACTGAGGTGGAGTTTACAGAAGAGGAATGGGAACCTGAGAGCAGACCCCCAGAGCCCCAGCAGCATCTTGGGGATCAGTTGATGCTCCTGTGAACACCTGGAGGTGGTGTCCAGGAAGCAGGCAGCAGGCAGCAGGGGAGGGGGAGGAGGAGAGGGAGAGGGAGAGGGAGAGGGGGGGAGGGGGAGGGGGAGGGAGGAGAGGGTATGGCTCATTAGAACAGGACAAGGGACTCAGCTGTAGAAACGGACTGTGAGGCTGAACAACTTGAAGGTTGGTAAGGAGGCCCCATCCTTAGAGGTAATCTAAGTGAAGGAGGGGAGACTGGGAAGAAGTCGTGGAGAAAAGGGGGAACCATGGGTTGATGCAAGGACATTGAAGGGGAGGTGCTCTAGGCAGAAAGTGGTCAACGGTTTCTAAGGCTGTGGAGAGGTCAAGGAACACACACTTTGGCAAGCATCCATCGAACCTGGCCACCTTTGAGTCCTTGCCTGAGCTCTTCATCATGAGAGAAAAGGAAAGCAGAGATAATTGTGATGGTTAATATTGTCAATATGACTGGATCATCAACAGACAGGCCTCTGCACACGTCTGTAAGGGAGTTTCTAGAGAGAGGTGGAAAGACACACCCTAAATGTGGGCAGCATCGCTTCATTGGCAAGGACCCCACACTGAATGAAAAGGAGAGAGAGAGAGAGAGAGAGAGAGAGAGAGAGAGAGAGAAGCAGCGCAATTCATCTCTCTCTGCTTCTCCCTACAGGAGCAGAGTGGTCAGCCACCTCACACTTGGGTTATGATTCCCCCACCGTACCCCGAGGCTGGGAGCCCAAACCAACTCTTCCTCGGGCGGTCTTTGCTGGGCATTTTGTCATAGCAACAGGAAAAGAAACACGTACACGAATCATTTCATAATACTGAGTTAAATTAAGACTCTTACAGCCCATGGCACTGAACACTGGGTTTATTATGAGTTCAAGGGCAAGGCACCATTTGTATGGACTGTGTAAGCAACTCAAGTCTGGAGTATTCCAGGGCACCTGGGGCTGGCCCTGCTGGCCTCTGCTTTCTCTCTAGTACTCACAATGGCTTTTTATTAATGGTAAGAGACTTGGAACTGTTTACCCCGTAAAGATTATGACTCACATTAAAGTCTGTCATTCAGTTTCACCTCTTGTGATCCTTTTGCGTCTGTATGCTCCTCTGTCTCCACGGTAACTGTTGCTGAGTCCTCTAGGTTCCACCTTCTGAATTCTCTGTGCTGCTGAATCTTGGTTCTCCACCTGGCTGGATTAAAGGCCGTCCAGAAAATTGGCAAATCATACTTCTGGGCATGGCCGTGTGGTTGTTTCCAGAGAGGATTAGCCTGTGGATCAGTGAATCCAGGGGGAAAGACCTGCCTTGAAGGTGGGTAGTACGGTCCAGTGGGCTGGAGGCGCAGATGAACAGAGATGGGAGAAGCCTGTGCGCATGCCCCGCCCTACTGAGTGGGCACCCTCCTTGCGGCTGCTATCAGACTCCAGACTTTTGAGCCTTTGAACATTTTGCAGACTCTCGGTGGGGCCCGCCGGCAGACCTTCAGCCTCATACTGGAGCTGGGTCATTGGTCTCTTTGGTTCTGAGGCTTCTAACTCCTCGGACTCAGCAGCCACTGCTTTCTCTAGCTCTCTAGCCTCTGACAGCCACTGTGGGGCCGGACTATTCAGTAGTTAATCTTGTAAACCCAGCTTAACATGATGTGTAGGGTCTGTTGGGCTTGTTCCTCTGAGAAGTCTGCAGAAAACAATCTCTAAAATGTGCGTCCTCTTCCCCGCTTCCACAAGGCATCCCTACACCAGACACCGCTGTCTCTCTCCTGGACTCTTGCTCCCAAGTCTTCTGCTCCTTTAGTCTCCGTTGGTCAGTAGAGCGCAAGGATGCATCCCAGGTCTCTCTTCCTCTAGCTTTATTGTAATTTGCGGTGAGTGCGTGGTGGGAAGTGAATGTGAATGATGAATATCTGAAATAATACTTGAGTTTATGAATGTGGACATTGAAGAGGAAGACCATCTTCAAAAGGTAAATAAAAGCTCTGTCAAAGAGGCTCTGACTATAGTACAGCCCGATGCCACAGCCCCTTTTCCACTTGTGACATGAGGTCACCCTATGGTGACTTCCATAATGGCCACACTAGTTTACATTTCCACCGCAAGTACAAGGGTTTCTCTTTCTCCTAATCCTCACCAGCGTGTGTTTTTGATGATAGCCATTCTGAGTGGGGTGAGATGGAATCAAAAAAACAGCTTAATCTCATGTTTCCTCAATGACTAAGGACACTGTGTATCTTTTCAAATATTTATCGCATATCTGTATTTCTTCTTTTGGCGACTGTCAGTTCATTTCACTGGTCCATTTATTGATTGCATAATTTTTTGGTGTTTAAGTTTTGCGTGGCTTTCTATATTCTCTATACTAATCCCTTGCTTGGTGCCTAGTGGGCAAAGACTCTTGGCCATTCTGTAGGCTGTCTCTTTTCTCTGTTGATTATTTAGGGAAAGTATTTTAAAACAACCCTCCTCCTCCTAGTCGTCTCACAAATAAACTGGAGACAACATATCCCTTATCTATCCAAAAATATAGTGGAAAGTTGTTGTTTTCCCAGACAGCCAACACAAAAATTCTTGTCAGTTGATATGACAGATTGAATATTGGGTAAAGAAAAATTTTGCTCTGAAGTGGTTTAAGTAGAAAAAATTTTAAAATAAGAAAGTGGTTAGAGTGCTCTGGGAGCTGTGAGTAGACATGTGCTTCTCACATAAGTAATGCTTCTAGTGTGTCATGGGCTGATGCTGTAACTCAGCAATATGATGTAACCTAGGGACACATCAGTGTATTCAAACAGGGAAAGCGCCATGCATCCCTTAAAACAAAACAGAACAAAACAAACAAACAAACAAACAAACACCTCTTTTTCTACTTGCTTTTACACAGTGCTCCCTTCTGAGGTCTCAGAATACTATGTCTGAATAACGTGTCAGAAGAAATGAAATTTTACTTCAAAGTCATAAACTGTGAGAGATCTGGAAAGCTCTCTGGAGACTGGCTGTCCAGAGCCCCTCCAAAAGATGAGCCAACTTAGGCCACAAATGACTGATGTGTGCAGAGCACAGCGATTCGGCCCACACAGTCCTCCCATGTCCTCAGGCCAGGGAGAGTCACGGTCTCACTCCTTATGCCCATGCTCCATTTCTCACCCTCGTTGTGTCTCTGGTTTTCTTCCTCCTTGATTGTGAGGCATGCACTCAAGTATCCTGGGATACCTAGCCAGGATTCTTTAACATAATGTAAAGTAGGAAACCCACATTGGTACCTTCTGACTAGAACTGGATTCCTTTGGTGTTTTTTAGCACCATTATAATCACCCAGGAATCTCTGGAAGTGTAACCAGTGTTCATTGAATTCTTTCACACTTCTTTGGGTTTTTAAATCAAGATTCTACCTTGTGATATGAGCATATTTTATGTACATGTGAGTGTGAGTGTTTGTGTGTGCACACACATGTTTGAGTGCAGAGGTGAACATTCTCCTGTGTGTGCATACCTGCGGATGCCAGAGGTAAGGCATTGAGTGTCTTCCTCAGCCACTGTCTACCAGCTTGCCAATCCAGCCAGCCTGGCACATCAGTAGGCTGAAGAAATTGGCCTGTCTTCTACCTAATGCCGGGTGGGTACAGATGTGTGCTGCTGCACCCAGATCTTACAGAGGTGCTGGGTACAGATGTGTGCTGCTGCACCCAGATCTTACAGAGGTGCCGGGGTACAGATGTGTGCTGCTGCACCCAGATCTCACAGAGGTGCTGGGTACAGATGTGTGCTGCTGCACCCAGATCTCACAGAGGTGCTGGGGTAGAACTCAGCCCCTCATGTTTACATGACAATAGCCATACTGACTGAGCCAGTACTCCAGTTTCCAAATTCTTCTTTTTAATGACAATAATAATAACAATAATAATAATAATAAATCCTATCGTTTTAAACGTTTTCTCCTCTTCTTCCTTTCCTCCTCCTCTGCTTCCCTTCCTTCCTCCCTTGTTTTTGCACTCAAAACTGAACCTAGGCCTCAAGCACTCTAAGAGTTATATCCCAGGGGTTCCTCTTCACCTTTTAAAGCAGGGCTTCCCTAGGCTGGCCTTGGGTTCACTCTGTAGCCTTGAACTTTCAGTCCTCCAATGGCAACCTCCCAAGTAGTGGCCACCAGCTCCTGATTATCTTTTAAATGTGCTTAATATCTATTCAAACATGTATTTGTTAATACTACTTTACATTACGGTATGATAGACAGGAAAATAAGTCTGCAAGGCTATTTCAAGTGAAAAGGTGAAGCTGTGGGCATGGCAACTGACAGCAGGTTTCTAACCTGAAAACTGACCAAGCTCACTTGTCAGGGACCCAGCCCCCCTCCAGCCATCCCACCCAAGTCTCCTGCAAGAACCACATCCCTCTCATTTCCCCTCTCAAGCAGCTGTCATCTTTGGTGTGTCCCCACTGATGAAGAGAAATACAAGCATCCTAAGAACATCGAATGTTCACTAGTGGGAAGCCTCAGAAAGACTGCCACTTGGGAGTGAGAGAAGTATGTCTCTGCAAGGTCACAGGATTGATGATACTCTACCTGAGAGGGTACGGTGGTCAGGGGCCTGACTGACCCTGCAAGAGTCAGACTGGACCAGAGTCCAAACTCTGCAAGAGTTTATGGGGCCACCTCAGTATTCTCATCTGTGAAATGGGCACATAAACTTCTGAGTATTGAGGGACAAAGAAGCAAACACATGTAGATAGTACCTGTAGCTAGCTAGTAACTACACCAACTACCTGCAGCTAGCTAGTAACTACACCAACT